ATTCAAGAACATTAATGATCCAGCAGCCGCCAAAGCTCTTGAGAGTTGCCACGAGCTTTTATCCCTTGCATTGGATCACCTGAACGACACATTGTCAGTTGCTGAGAACTCGTTACTCGATGGCTTTGATGATCTAAGAACATGGTTGAGTTCTGCAGGGACATATCAGCAAACCTGCATTGATAGTTTTGAAAATGTCACTTCAATTGCCTTAAGCAAAGCTGCAGGGCAGAATTTGAAGAACTCCACCGAGTACACCAGCAACAGCTTAGCACTTGTAACCTCATTGGAACAATCCGTTTCAAGTTTAGGCGCCATTGGGAGGAGGCGTTTGATGGAATTTAGTGGCGGCGATGAGTACCCGAGCTGGTTATCCTCAAATGACAGGTATTAAATTGTGTTACCATCTCATCAGTGATTACTTAATTATATTGTAATATCAATTACATAATTATACTATGTCTCTTGACAACAGGAAATTGCTTCAGAAATCAGCACCAAAGATAAAGGTGAATGCAGTGGTGGCTAAAGATGGTTCAGGGAAGTACAAGAGCATTAAGGCTGCACTCAAGGCTGCACCAGAGAAGAGCAAGAAGAGATATGTGATCTATGTGAAAAAGGGTATTTACAAAGAGAATGTGAGAATTGAGAAGACTAAATGGAACATTATGATTATTGGTGATGGAAAAGATGCTACCATCGTTTCTGGTAACCGTAACTTCATTGATGGAACTCCTACATTCCAAAGTGCCACATTCGGTAAGTACCTCAACGCGACTCTTTTCAATCATCTTCGGTACAAAACGTGATCATTCCTACCATTCTGATTTGTTTGTGCAGCCGTGTTTGGTAAGGGATTCATGGCACGCGATATGGGATTTGTTAACACAGCTGGTGCAGCCAAGCATCAAGCAGTTGCCTTGATGTCAACCGCAGATGAATCCGTCTTCTACCGCTGCAAAATGGACGCCTTCCAAGACACTCTTTACTCTCATTCCAACAGACAATTCTACAGAGACTGCAATGTCTATGGAACAGTCGACTTCATTTTCGGAAACTCAGCCGTTGTCCTTCAGAACTGCAACATTTTTCCAAGAAAACCAATGACTGGCCAACAGAACACCATCACAGCTCAAGGCAAACTTGATCCAAACCAAAACACTGGAATTTCTATCCAAAACTGTACCGTTATGCCCTGGGGAAACCTTACTGGCATCAACACTTTCTTGGGAAGGCCATGGAAGAATTACTCAACAACTGTTTTCATGCAATCAAATTTGGGAGATTTCATTCATCCAACTGGATGGATGCCATGGGTTGGAACCACTGCTCCAAATACTATCTTTTATGCTGAGTATAACAACGTTGGACCTGGGGCTAATACCAAGAACAGGGTCAATTGGAAAGGCTTGAAATTGAGCCTTACAAGCAAAATTGTAAGCAAGTTTACAGTTAAGCCTTTCATTCAGGGAGACAAATGGCTTCCAGCAGCCGGCGTTCCATTTAAGGCTATTTGACTTTTCTATTTTTTTTTTAATTTTTTTTTATGCTTTCATTTGATTTTGTTTTGAAGTATATCTTCTGCTGATGTGCTCTTTTTGTGAGGCTTTTGTTACACAAGAATTATTTGTCAAATTGATTCAATTTTAAATGAGAATTTACAAAATTTCAAATGGAATGATGAGGAATGAGCTTCTTGATCTTTAATCTTTCTGATCAATAATCTTGAGTCAACAAGTTTAGTTATTGTAACGACCCGACTGGTCGTTTTGAGTATCTGCACATTGCTCGGTATTTTGAGGGCTCGAGTATCTCTGTATGATGTATTATGACTTGCGTAAATCATCGATATTGGTTTTCAAGTTATCCGGAATCGATTTGGAAGAATGAACTTCAAGATTTAAGCTCTAAGTTGGAAGAGTTGACCAAGTTTGACTTTTTAGCATTTGACCTCAGAATGGAGTTTTGTTGGTTCTGTTAGCCCCGTTGGGTGATTTTGGACTTAGGAGCACGTCCGGATTGTAATTGGGAGGTCCGTAGTTGAATTAGTCTTGAAATGGCAAAAGTCGGATTTTTGGGAAGTTTGACTGGGAGTAGACTTTTTGATATCGGGGTCAGATTCCGATTCCGGAAGTTGGAAAGGTCCGTAATGAAAAATGTGACTTGTGTGCACTTTTTGATGTCAATTGAAAGTGATTTGATAGGTTTCAGCATCAGATGTAGGAGTTGAAGTTTCAAAGGTCATTGATTTTGACTTGAGGTGTGATCCGACGTTTCGAGGTTGTTATGCATGATTTAAAGCTTCGAGTAAGTTTATATTGTTGTATAGAACTTGCCTGAAAAGTTTGGCGCCATTCAAAATTGATTTGATATGGTTCGGATGCTCGGTTGCGATTCTCGAAGTTCTTGAAGTTTAAGTTGATCTTCATGCGTTTTGGCGTCCGATTCGTGGTTTTAGAGGTAATTTTGACGTTTTGATCGCACGAGCGAGTTTGTAAGATATTTTTAGACTTGTGTGCATATTTGGTTTAGAGATCCGAGAGCTCGGGTGAGTTTCGGATTGGTTTCAGATTGATTTTTCATAAACTTTGATTGCTGGTACTGGTATCATCGCATTTACGATGTTTTGGTCGCAAATGCGACAGTCGCAATTGCGAAGATTGGGCTGCTGGGTTAGATTCGCATTTGTGAAGAAACCCATCGCATTTGCGATGTGGGGTTATCCGCAATTAAGATGACCCTGCCGCTTTTGTGAGACTATGGGCTTCGCATACCTTAGCAGAAAAGCCTCCAGTTCGCGCGATTATGTGTTCACATTTGCGAACCCCATGTTGCAGATGCGACATCTGCAACCTGTTAATAGCTGAGAATTCCGAGACTTAGCTTCTTTTTGTTATATTTTGAACCCTAGCTTCGATGAGAGGCGATTTTGTGAAGGGATTTTCATACCAAATCATTGAGTAAGTATCTTTAATCATTTTTCAACTATATTTCATGATTTTATATGAGATTTAACATCAAATTCATGAGAAATCTATGGAAAAATTTGGGGATTTTGTCAAAGTTTTGAAAAATGAAAATTTGAAATTTGAGAGTCGAATAGGACTCGGATTTGAAAATAAAACATATATTTGGACTCGTGAGGCTATGGGTAGTCAAGACCTACCCTCGGACCCGAGTTTTGATCAGGCGAGCCTGGGGTTTGACTTTTGTTGACTTTTTAGAAATCTAATAAAAATCACAGCTTTATTAATTGACATTATTTTCTCTTGCATTGTGTGATGTATTCAAGTCGTCGTTGGCTAGATTGAGCCGGGCGGAGACGAATTTGTAAAGGAAAAAGGCTATATTGAGTGTTGAGTTACCCGAGTTGAGGTAAGTGTTTTGCATAACTTTGTTGAAGGAATTTTTCCTCCTATTTGTCATTGTTTGGTACATGCGGGGGGTGATACCATCAACCTTCACTTTCTTCGAATTCGACATACCATCATCAACAACAACAAGAACAAAAACAATAACAATAATAACAACATATATACATCATTTTTCAACCTTATATCCATTACAAAATATCAAAATATTGCCCAACACACACCAATCACTTCATACACAAAATGACAACCATACTAGTGTCAAACAACCTAAAAATACGCCGAACGACTATCCCACTATCCCGCAATTATGTGATTTGATCCACACCTTTCTCCTCCCAAACTCCATAAAAATAATAGCAAAAGAGACGACCAAATAACAATACAAAACAGCCCATTAAACATTCCAAGACAACCCATTACAAGTTGAACCACTCGTACTCACAACTTTCGATCACCGTCTTGTGAGTTCTTACTATTATGAGACGAATTTGTACCTTTCTATTAAAATAAAAGGATGAACGAGGACATTATACTTGTCTTATTTGGTGAAGAGATAAGCTCCTGATTTTGGGTTTTCAACTATTTGAATTTCCTCCAACTAGAACTTGCAACGAAGAGAAAATAACTTAGGGTTTGAGGGAGCTTTTGGACAGAGCTATTATGGCTGTCTTCGGGAGTGAAATTGCTGAACCAAAGTGAGAGATAAAAGAGGATAATCATCCCCTTTATGGGGCCCATTTGGCCGACCCTCTTGGCCGAAATTGTGGCCTTTCCTTTTAAGCAAGTAGGTGATGCACCTACTTGTCACCTACTCGCTTAATAAGTGATACATGTTGGTTCCTATTCAATTTTTAAACACACGTCTCAACCTCGTTTAATAGTTAAGACATGTGCCAAGTAGGTAAAACAAGTAGGAAGAGTAAGCAAGTAGCTCATTTTATTTGCTCAAAATCCCATTTATCACGTTTAAGCGCATTCATCAACCTCAACTTAGTCGCACATATATTGAATTAAAGTACGGAATGTAACAGTTCTGTTAGATTCTTTTTCAATAGTCTTTTAGAGGCCCATGACTTANAGGTGTGAGCGACTGGCTGTAGTGGGCACGCGGAGAGGTAGAGGGAGACCTAAGAAGTATTGGGGATAGGTGATCAGACAGGACATGACACGACTTAGGATTACTGAGGACATGGCCCTTGATAGGGAATTATGGAGGTCGAGCATTAAGGTTGTAGGTTAGGGGAGAGTGTGAATATTTCTACAGCACAATAGAGTGAGACTATCCAGTTAGAAGTTAGACTAGGAATGTCATTGGTCGTCTATTGATGCAGGGCTTTACCTTCTAGTTGTGCTATACTAGCCATCTATTTCGTATTTCGTATTCTGTATTTCATATCTCTTATATATTGTTGTTATTTTTATTATGCATTTTTATGGTACTAATATATTATCTCCTATTGCTTTTTTGAGCCGAGGGTCTCCTGGAAACAGCCTCTCTACCCTTCGGGGTAGGGGTAAGGTCTGCGTACATATTACCCTCCCCAGACCCCACTTGTGGGATTATACTGGGTCGTTGTTGTTGTTGTTGTGTTGTTGTTTTAGAGGCCCATGACTTAGCCTAGTGGGTGATATTTAGTTTTCAGATTATTGTCGTTATATTTTGTGGGTTCTTCATGTTTCATATTTTGATACTAAATGCAGATTCAACCCTCTTAATACCTTAATAAATGGTTGTTTTTCAATTAATTCAGTAAGTGTTGTAACCAAACAACTAATTAGTTCAGGTTTGCTCAACGAGTAGCTTAGGTCAACTGTCAATCAAGTTTTACTCCCGGTTTGAGATGTGACATTATTCCTTCATAGGTCAATACTATTTTATTAGTTTATAGCACGAAACCATAAAAACTATATTTAATAGCTATATATAATAGGATTATTTAGTAATATTATTATAAAATAAATAAAAAGTTGTTTCCTTTCAATAAAGCAACTAATCCTTTGAAAAGATCTCTCCTATTGGCCAAATAGTTTCATGAAAATGCTAGTTACTAACGAAAGAACACAGCTATTTAGAGAAGAATATAAAATTAATATTTTTAAATTTTTATTTAAGTATTGTAATAATAATAATAATTATAATTAAAACTATGAATTTATTAAAGTGAATTTTGGTATCTAATTAATTTTCTAATTTAGAACTTTTCACTTTTATAATAGTATAGATTAACGAGAATACTTGCATAAGAAAATACTTGTATTTTAAAACAAATGTGACTAAAAAAATAATATTTACTTGTGATATGCCTAGGAGTGTGCATTCAATTTGTCCGTTCGATTCTGCATTATTCAATTTTGGTTTTTCGATTTTAGGTCATGAAACTATTCTACGATAGAACCATAATTTATTTGATTAGGTTCGATTTTTCTTTTCAGTTTCATTTCTTCAGTTTGGCTTTTCAGACATGTTATATAAGATAGTTAGATAAGATAATAAGGATCTAATATAATTGAAGAACTAATTTGAACGACGAAAAAAAGAATAACTATTAAAAAAAAGAATAGTGGTAGTATCAAATCTCTTAAATACTTTTCTAAATTCAATTCATATGAGTAACACATATCTGTCGAACACTCTTGATTTCCTATAAAAGTCTAATGTCACAAGTAAACAAGATTAAGCTTGCACGCCTAATATCTGTAACAACCTGACTGATCTTTTTGAGAATTTACTTTCCGATCCCCTATTAACTGCTTCCTCCGTGTTTACTTTCTGCTATTGTGGGTTGCCGGGAAGATTCGTTTTGAGTTTCGTAGTGTTTTGGGATACTTAGTCCCTAATTGAGAGCTTAAGCTTTAGAATTTGGACCGTAGTCTGAGCAGTGTGAAGACGGCCTCAGAATAGAATTCCGTCAATTCTGTTAGCTCCGCTGGATGAGTTCGGTCTTAGGGGCATGTTCGGATTGTGTTTTGGAGCTCCATAACTTATTTAGGCTTGAAGTGCCGAAAGTTGAATTTTTGAAGTTTCCGGATCGATAGTGAGATTTTGATATCGGGGTCGGAATTCGATTCCGAAAGTTGGAATAGTTCCGTAGTGTTGAATGTGACTTGTGTGCAAAATTTGGGCTCAATCAGACTTGGTTTGATTGTTTTTGTCATCTGTTGTAGAATTCTTGAGATTTCAAGTTCATTAGGCTTGGATTGGGGGGTGAATCGTTGTTTTAACGTTATTTGATGTGATTTGACGGTTAGAATAAGTTTGTATGATGTTTTAGGATTGGTTGGCATATTTGGTTGAGGTCCTAGG